ATCCCGATTATCAGGACGTGATTACATTTGATTCGGGAATTTTTTGGGACGGGATTTGATCCAATCATCGGCGATTTTACCGCTTCGCGAGCGATGTTCTTGGTAATTCCACAAACGCAGGAGGTAAAGTCATTTCGACGATCGCACCGTGACCGCAAGTCGTTTGGACGATCGCGCCGTGACTGCGGAGTCATACAGACAATCGCGCCGTGACTGCAAGTCATATCGACGATTCCGCCGTGACCGCAAGTCATACCGACGATAACGCCGTGACCGCGAGATATACCGACGATCGCATCAAGACCGCGGAGTCATACAGACAATCGCGCCGTGACCGCAAGTCATATCGACGATTCCGCCGTGACCGCGAGTCATACCGACGATTCCGCCGTGACCGCGAGTCATACCGTCGATAACGCCATGACCGCGAGTCATACCGGCGATAACGCCGTGACCGCGAGTCATACCGACGATAACGCCGTGACCGCGAGTCATACCGAGGTTCCGCCGTGACCGCAAGACATTTCGACCGCGAGTCACAAGTTTCTATACCTGTAAATTTTTACCCTTTTTTGGTTTTGATAGATCAGTGCCACAAATGGTAAAAATTAATTTTGTTTGTCTTTTTTGGTAACTGCAATACTCAAGACTGTCGTTTATGCATAGGAAAAAATCATCCCGTCCCGAACTAAAAATTTAATCCTGTCCATCCCGTATTAACATAGTATTAAAATATGCGAATGCGACTATTACTGGGGGGGGGGGGGGGGGCACCACGACCACATTTGCCCCGGGCGCCGCTAACCCTAAAGACGGCCCTGCCAACAGGGATAGATAGATATTTTATTTTAACATTTATTTATTTGATAGCTATTAGTTTTGTAAATACGCTTTAGCACACTATTTAGTTCAAACAGCTAAAGTTTAGCTTCAGCTGTTCTCTCTGCAGGCAGATGATATTGCACAACACAATACAATCTACATTTCAAGTTCAAGATGTCAGACAGTCAGAATTCAGTCTCAGACAACCGGCGCGCGAGTGTCCTCAACACGAAATTATACTAAAAAATGTCTGTATCAATAAGTCAGACCTTTAAATGTATTATTTTTATTTTTAGAACAAAATAAATAACCTAAACTTGTCTAAATGTCCAGTTTCATCCCTGCATTATGCATCATTAGAAAAATTTGATTCAATTACAACACCGTCGAAGTCAGAGGGTTAGGCTTGCACTTGCCTATTGGACCAAAAAGTAGATCCATATTATAACTGTACTATCTACCTAGTTTAAGAGTTTAAGTGATGTGTTAAGTACTACTATTACATAAGTAATGATTGAAAAACACCATACCGATAATAAAACAACACCTTAGTCCATGTCGATTTTGTAATATTATAATGAATAGTGAATGTTGACTATCTAAGATAAATCAAAGTATGTAACATGAGTTCTCATTGGTCAAGAGGCCACGCTGCACTGTCTTGTCAGCCAATCGACGTTTGTGTTTCAATGGAGCAAGTGACAATTGCTTTGATGTCGTTATTTGTGTGTGAGTCTATTGTGGGAAGGGTTTAGATAAGATACATTGATAAATATCGAGAACCGTTATGTAGGACGTGTTTGTTTGTAAAGAGTATAAAATTAGGTTAAAGTTTAAAATGGTGGGATTTTCTTTTGTCTTACAAAGACCTAGATTTGACGTTCAATTATGTCAGTTAACTAAATCTTGACAAATGGCTTTATATAATATTTTAATAAAACATAAATTTTTCCGATTATATATCAATATGAATATTTTGGCTCAAAACATCAATTGTTCCAATCGATCGTTGTAGCATAGACTAACCAACACAAGGGAGTAGGCTATGTTTTATCTATGGTTGTAGTTACGTCGTACCCGGCTGGTTCACAGTGAATCCACTCTGCCCAGCCTTGTTCTTGGTATCATCAGGAACATAAACACATTTGTTACTAATTAAAACTATGTATGGAATGTTTGTTAAAAGCACCCGAAGAAACATATTTTGCTGCACAGTGCACACGATTCTTTTACACTGTAGGCTGTTATTTTTTTTAGAAAAAATTGTCGCATAGTTGCAAATTAACTTATTGAAATTAATTGTATCAAACGTGCATAGTATTTTCTCTTTTATCAAGGAGATTTAAGTACCAAACAAAACATAATCTTTCTTTTCTTGAAGGCTAAATTAAAAGATATCTTTACATAATAAAGTAAAGAAAAAAAAAACTGAAAAATGGCTGATAAAATTCCAATAAGCCCATTTATAAATTAGAGTAAAGTTTATCAGATCTATGCTTTAGTCATTGAATTCAACATTTATTTTAAAATTAACACTCAGAAGCTTTTGTTTAGTAGAATTATGCAAGCGACTGAGGGTGAGGGAGGGCATGTGAACCAGACTTTACAAAGGGCAAGTCTGCCATTCTGACAAACTTTCCTTTCTCTTTTCCCACCCCTTGTCCCGTTAGACAGGGGAGGGGGTGCTTCACTTCACACTAAACTAAACACTCGCGTGGTAGTGACGTAATTCTGTAGTGTGCTCTTCACAGCTCACTCATCAGCGGCTTTCGTGAAATTATAATTGATACCTAATTTTTGTTGATAGTCATTAAAAAATGTTGGCCTCCTCACCCTGTTCAAGGGAAAAAGTTAAGAAATAAAATGTTTGCAAAACGTGGTTTGTTTTATTATTCTGTATTGAAAATATATCGTAATATATTAATGTGTTTTCAGCTAGACTTAGTGACTTATTTTCATAGTTAAACAAATGTTGAAGATATAAATAGTGAGAAAATGACATTATTTAAGTTATTTAAGTTATTTAGTTATGATATTATTTAAGTTCTAATTAATAACTATTATCTTTTTGGTAGGCCTCACTGATCTTTTTGAACTTTTTAGTTTACACACACTTTCATTAATTTCAATCTTTATTTTTAATTTCAATTTATTCATAGCATGCAATAATGTATCAAATAGACAGTAAACACTGATTATCAACTTTTTTGGTTCGCGCTGATTTAAGAATGAACCAGAAGTATTGAAAGCCAACAAATATAAATGTGAAAATTAAGTAACAATACTACATCATAAAATAAACTCTATTTTATTTAATACAGGTCAATAATAATAATAATAAACTTAACGATTGCTTTATTGATATATAGGCTTATTCTAATTAATTGTTAGTGAAGGGTTAATTTCCTTAGCCCAACCATAAAATTAGCAGTGTCCATTAGTGAGGTTAGGTCAGCAACTATCCTCTTGTTCATAATTTTATTTAGTACATTTTTTACTTTAACTTTTTTAAGGTATAGGATCCATTACAGAAACACATGTTGTATTTAATTTTTAAAGAAAATCATGCCGTGCTGCATCGAATCGAATCGCATCGATTCGAATCGAAATTCTTTGAATCGCATCAATGCATCGAATCGAAAAATATATGCTGCATCGCACACCCCTAGTTATAACCAGCTGTTAGTTAAACCAGTATTGAAAATAATTTAAATTGCTAGCGTCGGCTGCTAGACTTTTTAAAAATTAAAACTGAATTTCTAAAAAACTGAAACCCTAAACTAAAATTATGGCTTCGACATTCCCTAGTTCTCAAAATTACCTTTCTTTCAACACAAAAATCATAAAAATCCGTCAAGTGGTTGATTCAGAATCGTGAAATAAAAAAACCCTGTTACGTTTTAATATTATAGATAAAGGGTAATTTGTCAAATTGAATCGATTTGAATTTATTGGTCTATTGAAATTTATCTATGAAGGAGTTATAATGGTGGCATACTAATAAAAAAGTGCTCAAATAAAGTTCAAACTAAAATGTTAATGATGTAAACATTGATTCGCAGGCTATATGACATTATTATGATAAAGATATGATACAGCATATTGTTTGATGTGATTCAATATAATAAAATTTCAAACATTCAATTAATTACATAGAGGGTAAAAGAGAATATACAGTCACTACTAGGCCTATATTTAGAACTGAATAGACATTAACCAGGTAGTTGTCAAACTGATTATTTGTCAAATTGAAAAGTTATATTGAGAATGAGTCAAATGAAATTCATGTTATTTATTAATGCTGTATTCAGAGCAATTGTGTCAATTAACTGTGAAAACATAAACATTTCTTTTAAGAGTTTCTAAACCCATCAAATATCATGTTAACATTCTTTCAACTTAAACATTAAAAGTATGAAAGAAGATAAATTGACAAGAATGTGCGAAAAGATATTGTGCTACGACCAACAACAACACTAGCTATGAGATTACCCGTTTGCCACCTCGCTGCACATTCAGTTGCTGCACAAGAACAGACGAGAAACTACAAGTTAGATTCATCATGTCTTAAACGAGAGGACATTCCGAAAAACTATTATGTTTACAATCAAGTAAATTACCAGCATGTTTTCTGAAATAAATACTTGGACCAAGCTTGATACTGATAAATTAAGTACTCCACATTATAATAATTCAAATTTTCTGAGTTTAATGTACACCACAATTAAGTTCAATTTTACAAATGGGTTGATTCTAATTTATTCAATCCTCATCCATATTTATGATTCATTTAATTTTAATATTAAAATGTCAAGAGTACTATTAACAAAATAGTTGTTTAGTGATAATAATATCACTAGAATCATAGAAGTTGTAACATATTATGTTACAAATTCTTACATCTAAGTAGTGATTTGATACAATGAATTGAAAAAAAAAACAATCAATTTTTGACAGTTTGTTAAGCAAATTCATTTAAAAATATAAATTGTTGTAATATTTTGTCATATTTGCATATCAGTTACATGATCACTATGTTGAAATATTCAAAAGAATAAAAGTTTAATGATTATTTAAATTATCTTTCCTCAAACCCATAGCACCACTATAATAATTAACTTTCTTATAGTTTAATATAGTAATAAGACGGTTAAGTACCACTTGAACCAAATACTCACATTGGCCATATACTCAGACAGCAGATCTTGTAGAGCTTGTCGTACAGCATTGCACTCGGCCACAATGCGCTCACGGCGCTCATCACGAGTGCAGCTGGAGTCAGCCATGAGTGCTGCACCACTGATGATACTCTCCAGTCTCTCCTCAAGAGACGGACGAGTCCTCACCTCGTTGTAGGCCAGTGGGTCCATGACCATTCGCTCCTGAAACAAAGCATAGGTAGAGATGTTGTCTACTCCTCAAGTTTCTCAAACTAGGTTTCTTTTATAAGAATGACATTGTTTCAATTAGATCCCAATTAATACGGGGTTGTAAGAGAATACATGTAGAACCAGAAGACATTTGTTTAGCTAGGTATAGTTTCAATTATATCATTCAAGCAACCATATTTACCTACATTTTTAGGCTTCAGAATATTATATAAAGTTAAATCTAGTTACAACTCAATTTTTATAAAAAAAATGCAAATTAAACTACATTAAAAAATAAGGATTGAACCTGCTTAAACATATTACCAACTTGTGTTAAACCATTGACTCCATACTGCAATAGGTACTGGGTAACATTATATATTGTACTAACATCAAAGTCATCCAGAGCAGCAGCCAGTTCGCCTGGTCCGTCGTAAGCGTTCTGTGGCAGTCCTGTAGTCTTCCCCTGGGCTACATCACTGATGGTGTTGACTGCCTCACACACCTGCTTGAACACGTAGTCTCTGTTGGCCTTGGCAGCAGCCAGCTCTGGGTGTCTGATGTAAACCTAACAAACATATAGGAAGATCAAACCCTGACACACCCCCACCAAAGCAAACATGCAGTCTAAGGATAATGTTATACTAAATTATTTGTTTTTTGAGGTCTACACAAAATGGTTTGGGGAAAAAATTATGAAATTTGTGTTTTGAGGGTACAAAAATGGGAAAAGCCAATTTTTACCTCCATAATCCTCCATAAAACCCCGTCAACTTGTCGGATCCCCGACGATGTGACCCCGTCGATAGATGTGGGTATCTATCTATTCTATACATAATTCAGTTTTCAAAATCTGTGTACAACTAAATCTAGAGTTCTAATGGACCGATTTTATTAATTAACGGGTCGGGTCGTTCGAAAGCTTATTTCGTGTAGATTTGCAAATAATTATGAAAGTTTGTTTTTGTTATGATTTATGGTGAAAAATTCCAAAAAACATGTTTTCCATAAGAAATACATTGAAAACGGTGTTTTTCACACTTTTTATTTGGGTGAGAGTTTTGGCTGCCTTTATTAGTGTTTCCAAGAAGTGTATGGTATAAATTTGTAGGAAATTTTATTCTCTTTCAGAATATCACCTTCCACTTTGGTCGATTTCCTCACCATTTAAAAGTTATTTGCAAAAAAGGTAAGCAACCTCCAAATTTATATAAACGGGAAAATACAGAGTTAGGGATATTTTTGTTACAATTTGTACAACTAAATCTAGACTTCTACCGGACCGATTTTGTTAATTAATGGGTCATTGGAAAGCCCAACTCATGTAGATTTGCAAATAATTATGAAAGTGTAATTTTATTAAATCTTTGTGGTAAAAAAGTAAAAATAACAAAAATACATTAAAAACTGCTTTTTTTAAGCTTCTGTTTTCAAGTTTCTATTTGTAGCCAGCTTTTGGCTGCCTTTATTAAGCACTAGCTGGCCCGACAGACTTCATCCTGTCCTATGCTTTTATGTCAAATGCTTGTTCATTTTCAAGATCCTGGTTGAAGTTCGTTCGCTACGCTCACTCACCTTTAGGTTGGAGCTCGTTCGCTGTGCTCACTTGCCTTCAGGTTGAAGTTTGTTCGCTACGCTCACTCACCTTTTGGTTGCAAATTAGCTGTTGTCATAAATTTAAAAAATATAATTGTGCTGCACCCTGTTGGTAAACTTATTAACTTTTAATGCTATTGAACATCACAGAATCAAATTGCTTAGTTCAACCAGCTGTTAATTTTCTTTAATTCCATTTAAATGTGAGTACTCATAAGGTTAACATGGGAAACTCCAGAGCCACTGGGGCGGAGCCCTTTTGACGGATCTGCACCAAACTTTACACAAACCATCATTGAATAATGCTTAATAATGCCTGAAAGTTTCATTACAATCTGTCAAGCGGTTTCGGAGTCCATAAAGGACAAACATACAAACATACATTGGATTTTATATATATAGATTTTCAAGAAATGCATAGCAGTTATTTGTATTAAATTTTATTCTCTTTCAGAATATCACACCCACTTTTGTCGATTCCCCCTCCATTTAAAGGTTATTGGCAATAATCTAAATGATTTCCAAATTTATAGTGGTGAGAAAATACTGAATTTGTTATATTTTTGTTAAACTTTGTACAACTAAATCTACACTTCTACCGGACCGATTTTGTTACTTAATGGGTCGTTGGAAAGCCTAATTCGTGTAGATTTGCAAATAATTATGAAAGTTTGATTTTATTCCATATTTGAGGTAAAACAATAAAAATAAACAATATTACATTTAAAATGCCTTTTTTTCAAGTTTATATTTCCATGTTTATATTTGTAGCCAACTTTAGGCTGCATTTATTGAGTATTTTCCAGAAATACATAATAGTAATTTGTAGGAAATTTTGTTCTCTATCAGAATATCACCTTCCAGTTTGGTCGATTTCCTCACAATTTCAAAGTTATTTGCTAAAACGTTAAGCAACCTCCAAATTTATAATGGCAAGAAAATACTGAACTAAAGATTTTGTTGTTAAACTTTGTACAATTAAATCTACAGTTCTACTGAATCGCTTTTATTAATTAATAGGTTATTGGAAAGCCTAATTCGTGTAGATTTGTAAATAATTATGAAAGTTTGATTTTTTTTAAACTTACTAGGTGAAACCCGTCAAAGTCTGACAGTTGCTGTTGAGGTTGCAAGCAAGATCGTTTGACTATAAATCGATGATAAAAAACTCAATTTTTGTTAAAATTTAAGTTGTTCGTGATTTAGCAGTGTACTTTAGGTACGTCCAATCAATAATTATCAATAATCAATAATTCAAATGGAAGCTAGTATTTCACTGAAGGTTCTTAAGTCAAAACAAATAGAACAATGTAATTAGAATTGAGTAAATATATCTAAAACTATATTCCATATCCAAGATGTAATTACATTTTTGTTTCCTGATTGAGTGATACCTCAATCAGAGATTGAGTGTATCTCTTATTTAATTAGAACTATCAATATCTCAAGTGAAAGCCTTTGAAGTATTTTAAGACCAAGACATATAAAATACCTTAAATAAAAATTTTAAGTTGAGTTATGTATCATTGATTGCAGATCATTACTAAAACGATTATAATTATTGTTGATTCGTGATTCAGCAGTGTGCTTTAGGTAGGATTATTAAGATCGGAATCTTAACTAAAGTGGTCTGCCGTTACACTTTAGACGCATAAATGAGCGAAGCATTATTTAAAGATTGCCAATGGCTAAAGCAGCTAACACCCTACAAAATGTTTCCTTTCCACAGATTCACCGTTTGTTTTTTCTATATTATTTAAGTTCTAAAGAATGACAAATTTATCTGATAGTTCATACTGTACCTTTGTAGTGAAACTGGCCATCCTAACCATTTGCTTGTACTTTGTAAATGCGCATAGCGGGATGTACTCGTGCAATCAACATTTGTTCTACAATCGTCAGGTCAGTTAATTCGTTCGGGACACTTGACACATCCATATTATTTAACGCCGTGAATTTAGTTGCATTTGAACGACAACGTGAACAAATCGGTGATTGGTTTGAAGCTGTTAGTTGTTGGCGATGACAGTTAGTGCAAGTGTAAAATTTTAGTGCATCTAATTCATGTTGGAATTGATTAGCTAACTGCCTATCATTATCAGCTTCTTCCGCCACTGCTTCATCTGGTTCTTCTTGTTCACGACGCCACTCTCTTACAATTACAATATTTGCATTATTAGTGCGACGACCAATATTACGACGTGGCCTTTGAGGCATGCTCAAAACAAATATAGCAAAACTGTTACTTCCATTGATAAACTGTTACATTCCAACTTTAACCTACGATGAAAGTAAACATTGAAATGTAAACAAAACAGTTACAAACAATTAACATATGCTTATCTTATTTAAATGAAACGAGATAAGCCCATATGTCATAAACCCAATATAATTTTTATTTCAACTAACATTAAAATAACAAGCAAAATTGCGTGACCCGTAAAATAAAATCCAGAAGGAAATTCGCAAATATTTTTTACCAAAACATTGTGCTCAGTATTCTTTAGCTGTTGGCCAAATTTCATATCAATTGGTCAAGCCATTACATTCTGATGCTCTTACAAAGAAGTTACAAAGTGAGGGAAAGTGAGCTTCGCTCAATAATCAATAGCTCAAATGAAAGCTGGTATTAAAGGTTTTTAGACCAAAAGAAATAAACGGTATCAGCATTCTGACACATACTTTCTCCCATAAGTTTGTCAACAACCTCATATCCGGAAATGGGATTTGTACAATTTTGTTCAGAATATAAAGGACTATAACATACTACATTTTTATCAAAGTCGTTCGGGCCATTTTCGGGAAAATCATAATTTTCCGTTATTTTATAGGGTTTTATGGGAAAATCCCCACTAAAAATAAAAAAATTCTAAAAAATGAAATAAAAATCTCAAAATTGTAAGGACCATAACATACTATGTTAAATCAAAACCGGATTTTTTTCTAAAATCCTATTTTTTGTTATTTTATGGGTTTTTATGGGAAAATAACATAATTTACCATAACTTTTGAACCGTAATTTTTACAGAAATGGGATTTGTACCATTTTGTTCAGAATTTAAAGGGCTACAACATACTAAATTTTTATCAAAATCGTTTGGGCCATTTTAGAAGATTTGATTTTTCTGGGTTTTTATGGAAAAATCCCCGTTAAAAATCAAAATTTCAAAAAAATGAAAAAAAACGCCTGGAGATACCATAGATTAGAACCTACATACCAAATTTCAACGAAATCGGACCACAGGTGTAGTCTCTAGCTCTGTACACATCCAGACACACAGACACACAGACACACGGACACACACACACACACACACAGACATCACTTCGAAAACCACTTTTTTGGGTCCAGGGGGACCCAAAACGAATATATCCACTCAAAACTCAAACTCGAAAATTTTGACAAAAACAATACTTTCTCCATATACTATGGTATAGGGGGAGAAAGTAATAGGGTAATGTAATTAGAACTGCTGGAATACATCTTTAATTGAAGTAAAAATAATAAAAGAAATTATATTTTTGTTAAGTAAAACATTAGATAAATTAATAATGATGCTTGATGACAAATATGTGCTTGCATAGCTTTATTTTAAGACTAAAATTATGAAAATCAGGCTGGTAGAAGAGCCAAACAAATTCGAAAAAAAACAAATTTAACTTCCATAAGAAATGTAAAAGAACGCATTTTGTGTATGACTCGAAATATACGTCAAAATGAATGCCGATGATTGATGGCAGTTCTGTGGTGCGTTCTTACCTTTAGTTTAAGGCCAAAATTATGAAAATCGGTCGGGTAGAAGACCTTTAACCCGACTCGGAAAAAAAACCAATAAATGTTATAGATGGCAATAATTGGTTTACCAGTATGCATAATCTAAACATACGAAACATGTGTTAATAATTTAACAGCTTATTGTTATATTGTTATTTAATTGACTTTTCTTTTGATTAAATGTTGTTGTTAACAAT